ATATGGCCATATGGCCATACCCAACATTTCCAATCAATTTTGGACCAGAATATGCATTTTTGGCCCCGTGGGAGTTGATTTTCCGGTAAGGGCTGAAAGGGTTAAGGCTGCTCTGGAAAGCTTAGATCCACGCTCTTCTCTTGGTACCCATCACGCACGCCCTGTACCAAAGGGAAATCCCATTGCACCCTTAAAAATTGTAAAGTCAAAATATTAATTGGACAATGGTTGAGGGAATGGGAAAGGGAAAACGTCTGAAGAAAAACCAAAATCATTCGCGATCACGCAGTGCCAATACTTCTGTGATCACCTGGTCGTCGCTCGGTCCGCCTTTGCCCTATCGCAACGTATTTTATATCACTGGAAAGCTGAGCTCAAGACATTTCCAGCGGTGTATTGATTGTGTGTAGATTGTCAAGTCGGTATAACATACCGATTATGTGTGACGGAGTTATGATAGATTGTACACTGGTCTATGCACTACAATTTATTGCGCAAATACTTGGACGAGTATAGCCTTAGCACGGAACGAGTTAATGGTTGAGCATCGAGGGACTGAAGCGAAGATTCTTCGTTCGTGTCCTGGTGGTACCATTTCATTTTTCTTCTCATTCTTTCCCCACTATTTAATCCTCCAAACTACTGAATGTAGCCGTTGCCGTGAACAATCTTGCCTTTTTAGGAAATTTCTCTTTGAAAATTCACTCTGAAACTGGAAGGGAATGGACAATACTGTCCGTGAAGAGAGTTCACCTGGGTTGATTAGTGGTATATGAGCCATGATCTCAGAAAATGTTTCGTCCTTTAGTATGTAAACTTCCATTCGTCAAAGTTTTACATCAATATTAGCCTTCCAAGTTCCAAGTCCCTTGAATTCTCTATATTGTAATTCTCCATATTGTAGAATGCACTTTCATTGTCCAATTCTGTTATGTACATGTATGCAGTATCATAGTTGTTCTGGGGTCCGCGAATCCCACGGTCACTGAGGCACCCAACTCATCCAGTACGTACTTTTGAAGAGCAGGCTGCGAGTTTGGCGAACGTGGCGCTTCAGCTGCTAGAGCGTCATGCCAAGATTCTCAAGAGGTCATTGTCAAGCGCAGAAAAGTGATTGTCACTAGAGCAGCCACGTCCGATTGATATCCAGTCCGCGATCCTTGCGGCAATTAGGGCTTCCTTGACACGTGGCCCATTCTGCTCCAAGTCATTGTAACTCTCGTCTTTGTCGTTGTCAGGCAGATGGAGCTGGCGCTTCTCCGCCACCGGTGCGTACGTGTCGTCGTCTCCGTCATTGCCATCATCACTCTTGCCGTCTGCATATCTGGGGATGTCGCAGTAGTCTCTATAACGACTCAACGTGCTCACCTAGGATAGACGCGTCCTCATGTGGCACACCGACAAACTCACTGCTACATCGTTTACTCGCCATTCTGACTGCCTACGATCTAACTGTGTGATATGTAAGAATATTCGTCCGAAGACGATCGACCCACGACCATAGAAGACTGTATTAGAATATAATTTATTACTACGACATTGTCACAATGTGGTGACAGGAAACACAACAACTGGACTCTCCAGTCAAAAGGAAAAGAACCACGCCAAAACCGTTTGGCTGCACCCACAAAATTAAAGGGATAAAAGACGCGCAAATATGAATGCTCAAAAAGACGCAAACAATCACAATCCGGAGTGGAATAATTACAACTCGTCACATATCTGACACTAACCTGGAAACAACAAAATCGAGATCGACCTCGTCTTTGACTACATTGCCTTCATGATCGATTGCGTTCGCGTTCTCTGTGACTAATTTTGGCGTCACATTCTGATGAAAGTTGGAATCATGTCCTAAGGTACATTTAGAACGAGGTTTGTCTCGTTGTCCAGAAAACGTCCGATCAGCGACATTCCCGCCAAGGGCCTTATCAGAGTTTAAAGCCCGCTCAATTGTAATTTTACTACTCTTGATGACACGTCGAGGGCCTTGGATTAGTTTAAAGCCCGCTGAATATACTCTAAACAGGTGCGTACAACTTCCTGTACGCCTTATAGTACGGTGCACATAATGAACTCTGCATAAAACGTTAGGTGTACTACTAAAAGCTACGCACTTTAGAAGTGTGTACGGTTTTTTCCTCCTGTACTCTTTTATCTGTACGATTTTGCCTTGTCCACAGCTAGCAGAACCCTATAAAAACCGAAGATCCAAGTCATTAAAGGTATTGAAAAGGGGCTCTCGAAACCCCTAAATAGCTCCACAAGCTATGAATAAGAATGAAGCTCGCAATAAGAGCCCAGCATTTCATTTGCTTCTATTCTACTTTTAGTAGTCCTCCGTGGTGCTGAGTTACCAGAAGAAAATATTCTATCATACCACATCAATCCTTTCTGCAAACAAACCACAAAACTACCCAATATAAGGGTACACGTTACACAAGCATAATGCAATTGAGATAATGCATATAACCTCGTTCTAAAATAGTTAGTGCATGGCAGGGAGGGCCTTTTGGGCTGTTAGTGCCCTCCACGTTAGCCCTGATATTATATGAATTAAATGACGATAGTAGGTTTTCTCGTGTTCAACCCTCCCGGTGGGGTTAAACTAACCTAGGTTAACCCTTTAATGATAGCTTGCATACCGTCCTACCGGTAGGACCCAAGAAATCGAGCTGCAAAAGTGCCTTTGGTTAAGAAATATCTTGAAACAATTGTTGAGATGAGGTCTTTGTCAGGCAAAGTAATGGCGCAAAATGCAAGGGTATGTCCAGTGCATTGCGTATGCGCAATTTTATCGAATGTCAAAATGGCCGCACATAATCCTGTCGGTGCGCTAGCAACTCTGTCCAAAGTGAATTTTGACCATGGCACATCAATTGTGGTGAGGTCCTAATGTTTTTATTAGCTTGCCAAGGCAGTGGAATGCATAATTCCATACTCCGTTTCCATGGTTACCATGGGCTATCACCATGGAATTTCGTAGTATGCATTGTGCTATCACGTCTAAATTTTGCAGACTCCTTCATTAGCCCCTTAGAACCAGTTAAGGGTCAAGTTTTAGGTCAATGTTAGAACAGAGGCCATGCAGCATGTCTGTTTATGATGGTCCTACCGGTAGGACCGAGGTCTATGCAAGCTATCATTAAAGGGGAAGTATACCCTAAAATTTCCCTGGTCGTTTGGAGAAGTAACGTTTTTCCTCACTCTCCTTCGGGAGAGTGAACAGTTTAATCAAGTGGAGTGAAGAAGTGAATGGAGCTAGGGATGAGAGCTCATTCACGGCCAGTGCGGAGTCGCGACTTTCAGCTGTTCGGCTGGTTGGCCACCCAGAGCTCCGTCAATGCGGGCATAGAGCTGAAGTGAGCGCGTAGCCGAGGTTGCGCTGACGGGTTGGCAGCGGCTAGCCGAGCTCCACGACATGTACGTTGAAATTTATTCTCTTTATCTTATTATTTCTTTTCTATCATTTCCCCAATAATTTCTGTGAACGCCTTGAGTGGAGAGCGCTTGCTCGAGCGTTGAATTCGGGTTCTTAATCCACCATTCTCGGTTCGCAAGGCTGGGCGGGATTGTGAGCAGGCTTTCATTTCATCTTTTCTTATTATTTCTGCTTTTCATCTGAATAGTGGGATCTAAGACCATGATTGAGAAACAGAGGGTAGAGGAGACGTTCCTGTTTGACAGCAAGATTGTGTAGACCCAAACCGATCATCAGCGTGGATTGTTCACTCGAATATGTTTGTGGAAGGTAACTGGCATGTTGAAATTTGCTCTGAGGCCAGAGTCGATCGAACCGAGCCACTCCTTTGTGTTGGCCCGTTGCCCGATTTTTCGTTTCAAATCGGAGGTGGCTCCAAACCGGAAAGATTTTAGAGTGCATATCAAGTTCACTCTGAGTTCGGAAATTAGTTAATTGTTATCGCTGCACGACGGCCAGTACAGAGCAACAATAAGCCTTGTGTGTGCTTCCATTAGTTTTCATTTGTATACGGTGCTTTATTGGCAACAGGCAAGCCGCTGTTTACCTGAGACAAGAAGTTGATTTTCGAAAGACGTAAAACACCTGCTAGGTATGGCGCTTCTGGTTATCGCAGAGCCATGAAATTTTGGCTAGGAGTGAAACACAATGTAGTCTCAATGTGACATATGTCTTCTAATCAAAATATCAAAAGAGAAAGTGAATATTGAGCCCGTTAATAGGTCTGATCTACTCACCTCCCACCGCTTTAGGAGCTGCATCTGCGCCTTGATCTTTGAGGGTGGTGGCGTTCCTGCAGATGCGGATAATTCGGTCTCCAGGCGAGTCTCACGCGGACCATGAATCTTTCCCTTTTTTCATCTCATTTCGAAAAATTCTGCGCTAATCATCCCTCTCCATCTGCGCATAAAATCTAGACTGACAACTTGTCTTTACTTTTGTATCTTTCTCTCTCTCTCTCTCTCTCTCTCTCTCTCTCTCTCTCTCTCTCTCTCTCTCTCTCTCTCTCTCTCTCTCTCTCTCTCTCTCTCTCTCTCTCTCTCTCTCTCTCTCTCTCTCTCTCTCTCTCTCTCTCTCTCTCTCTCTCTCTCTCTCTCTCTCTCTCTTTCTTTCTTTCTTTTTCTCTTTCTCTCTCTTCCGGCTCCATCATTATCGATCTTTGTACAATTTCAATTTGAAGTGCACTCGGGGCACGATTCGTAGTAGCAGTAGCTGGAAACGCAATGCTTATTGTGATCGGATATTGTATACGATTGTGCTGTTGTGTGTGTGTGTGTGTGCGTGTATGTGTGTGTGTGTGTGTGTGTGTGTGTGTGTGTGTGTGTGTGTGTGTGTGTGTGTGTGTGTGTGTGTGTGTGCGTGTGTCTGTGTGTGTGTGTCTGTGTCTTTGCGTGTGTGTGTGTATGTGTGTGTGTGTGTGTGTGTGTGTGTGTGTGTGTGTGTGTGTGTGTGTGTGTGTGTGTGTGTGTGTACGTATGCATGTCGTTCTTGATGTTGTTTGATGGTTATATATTTCCAGGCCGTGTATATCAAACTCTGTCGACAAACTAATGGCGTCTCTAGGTACGTTTTATCACATTTGTTGTCAACATTATGGGTGAACCCGATAGGCTGGTGCAGTTGCTATAGATACTTTGCCAAATATGCCTTTGGTATGAGTAGAGAGGTGTGCAGTGCATGCTGAACACATTGCCAGTCTAGTGCACAGACCGTGTAATGTGCACGGACATGAGGCTACCCTGTATGGAGTTGAGAGTGCATGGTTGAGAAATAAATGTCAGCAGATACAGTGTTAAGAATAGAATATTGAAACCTCGTCATTTCTGCGTAATGTACTGCATTCTTTGTGTGAGTGTGATTTCACGCAGGATACACACTCAAACAAAGAATGAAGTAAATTTCAAGATTAGAGAGGTTAGGATGCATGTTATTTCTGACGTGACGCGAAAGTTCAGCTCGCGTTATTTGGCTCGCACGTCCAAAAATCAACGCGAGTGGCCTGCTGCTTACGTCGAAATTTGAAGTTTTATGCCAAATTTGACGTGAAATTGCGCGTCACGTCGGAAATAACGTGCATCTTAACCTCTTTAGCACGACGCCACCTGAGCGCGCCCCACGACAACACCTGTAAAAGTCGCATTTTCCCATGAAAGTACTAGCTGCTCAAGGATCGATAACTTTACCTTTCCTTGGACGAATTCCACAATCTTGAGCTTCCTGGAAAGGTCTTGAGACGAGTGACAAACTGGTGTCAAACCCAGCTCGGAGCGAAACCACAACCCCGTGCTACAGTCAGGCAAACTTCATCCACGTGCTCGACAGACTTGAGCACAGCCAAGACTAACCAAGCTCAAATATTCAGCTGCCATTTCGGTCTCCTTGCTCGTATCGAGCTCAAAAATTTTGTGAGGACTCACGGGATCCACTACAATCATTTGAATCTTGTTTCCATGGCATCAGGTAGCGCACAAATGATCCATGATGGAAAATACGCGTTCTGCAGACTGCGCAAAAAATCGAGTTGAAATTTGCCGTGTCGAGTCGCATATCTCAACAACCGGTAGTCGTATCGCTTCGGCGATTGTGTCTATCGCCTGCTGAGAGTTTTCTCTTGCAGATACATGTTTCGATTGTGACAATCGACCAAGTATTGAGTGAGTTACGATAGTTTGAACAAATCACTATGGACTCAACACGGACCCCACGACTATGAGATGCAGGTTCACTGTACAGTGTACAGCGCGCGTCGTACTAGTACGACGGCCGTGGGGCATGCAACTCATGTGCGTCGTACTAGTACGACGCTCGCGCTAAAGGGGTTAAAGGGGAAGTCCGGTGAAAAATTTAAATTTCACAGTCTGTAGAGTTCGGGGCGCTGAGTCGAATGGTCTTTGTCCGAGGAGGCTGCGGCCTATGGTTCGTCAGATACGCCCAATCGAACATGTGCGAATTTGAGCGCACCTCACCCAGATCCAGGTGATGACGTCACAGCGTGCAGCCAGGTAGCCACACCATCTGGATGTGTACAAAACGGCCAAATTCGGAGCGCGTTCGATTGGGGAACCGTTTGTCGCAGCTACTTCAGACCAAGACCATTCGATTCAGTGTTACAAACACTACGTACCCTAAAAATACAGTATAACCTCGAGGTTATACTGTATTTTTAGCCGTTTCCGAGTTGGACTTTTCCGTCGGCATGCACTGGCCTCTACGGCTCTACAATTAGTACAAATGTGCTGCGTGCATGCTAGCACACACTCATCACACACGGAACTACTCCCGCACTGCCGTGCTGGGGTAGGTAGATCTACAACAAGACTCGAGTCACAAGACTCAGACAACTAGTCAACAGACAACACACGGACTTGTCATGTACCACTCGTATCAGTCGTATTGAACAGTCATGTAGTCAGAGAACGAGAGTTTCTCCTTGCCGGTGCCGGTGGTTGTGCTTTGAGAAAGAAAAATTTAGTTTTCCGCTCCCGCCTCATTATTTTATGCTACAGCGATGAGTGCACAACCGTGACAAGTGACAAAACAGCGAACAGCTCCCGGACCTAGAACTTTCAGATCCCGTAGCGTTGCGAGCGAAGAGTCGTGCCCGTGGTTCAAAGAGCCTGCACTGTTCTCCAATTGAGTAGTCCGAAATATGCCAAGTTCGCACCAAAACATCACCATGTGGCAGGCTACTGGAGTCTAAGCGAATCGGTATGGAACAACATTTAGAGCACTCGCATCACTCTTCTCCATTTTGGCGACTCTGCTCTCCAGCGATCTGATAATTATATCAGCCTCGTCTGCAATAGCTGCTGCTTCTTCATCAGTCGGAGACTCAGTAGCGCTCACTCTTGACCGGCCCGCGCGGCCATTTCTTCAGCTGAATACCGAGGTTCTCAGCCCCAGACCGAACTCATGAAGGTCAGCCATGGCTGCATCCTCACTCTCACAAGGAGTTACGTCTTCGGAGTCGCTTGCACCACCTACTATGGGTCGCCAAATCATTTGAAATAGCACTGACACTATTGCTTTCACGCACTCCTTTTGACTTAGCTGCACGCTATGACGTTGCGGAGGGTGTGGCGCGGCCGCATGACGTCATGGCGCAGCCCCCGAAACTCAGTTTTTCAAACGGAAATATCTCGAGAACGCTTTGTCGGAGACACGTGGGACCAACACCATTCGACTCAGCGGCCGAAACTCTACCGACCCTGAAATTTAAATTTTTCACCGGACTTCCCCTTTAACCTCTCTATTATGAGGGTTTCAATGTTCTAAAGGGGAAGGAAGTTAGTTCACCCTAAAATGAAAACTTCACAACCTGTAGCCAAAAATGCACTGATTCCAATGGTGAAGGTCCCAGGTTGATCGGAGCAGCCGTTCCCGAATTATACCGGCTTGAAGTTTGCACTAAACTTGGTGACATGCGTTAACTTGCCAGACTTGGCCGGATTTATGACGTCAGAGAGATAGACTTTGTGTGGGAGTAGATGGGGAAATTTCAGTATTTTGGCTCTCCATTGTCCCAAAGAATCGAATCTTTTTCAAACTTCGGTATGGGACAGATGTCACCCTACCGGTATCCCGACTGGAAAAAATTCTAGTATGAAATTCATTGTTGCAGAGAAACAAGAAAGAAATCGTTTTCCCCATCTACGCCCATACAAAGTCTATCTCTCTGACGTCATAAAATCCGGCCTAGTCTGAGCAAGTTAATGACGTCATCATGATGTCACCAAGTTTAGTGCAAACTTCAAGCTGGTATAACTCGGAAACGGCTGCTCCGATAAACCTGGGACCTTCACCATTGGAATCAGTGCATTTTTCGCTACAAGTTTTCATTTTAGGGTGAACTTCCCCTTTAAAACCTTTTGCACCCTGGTGCTAAATCCCCAGGTTCCTGCCACCGGTCGCGCTGCCACACGCAATAGTCCCAGTATGCATTTCCTCAATTTTTACGCCACGTAGAATGATGATTCAAAGTCCTGCAGATTCATAAAGCTCTAGCGATTCATTTGGTCTTTACTTCGCATGCTCTGTGCAGCGATGAGTCACAGGGAAAGTCCCCGTTGAGGCACGCCGACGCACTTTGAAGCACTCTGCGCACAAATTTCGAAACAATTTCAAGCGTATCCGCGTTTCGTTCTTCGATACTCAGTGGTTCCGCATCGAGCTATATCAAACGACATACCACTGTAACGCTTATTCTCTCACCTTTCCAATGAGCCATCATTCGCGACGATCGGATAAAGGACAATGGAGTTTACGACTATTTGAACAGTGATGTATATGCACTGTACAAGTATGCGCTTTTACTTGACGCACATATGCATCATCAGGAAATAAGGGTATGACGTTTTGATGCACATGTGCGGCATCAGTCGGCAAAGGGTTAACCCTTTGCCGACGGACCATACTTTTATCGAGCACGGGAGATCGATAAATTCAACATTTTCATTGGGTTTAATTCATACTGAACACTACTGTGACTGGGTCAAATCTCAGTTATTTGGAGAAGCCGAAATATGTATAATTGTATATTGAAAAGAATACTGTCAGCTGTCGCTTTGAACAGTTGTGGAAGCAATAGGATCAGCGGTTTGTGAGATACGATGCTCGTAACTTTGGTCACGGCTAATTTGCGTTCAGGGCGCGCTGCGTGACCAAATAGCCGGGATTTTCCCTGCACACGACAGCTGTTGGCACGGACACCTGCTAGTTGCTATTAAAAAAATGAGCTTTCTGCAAGCAAGGAGAGCAAAATGGCGGATGGAGATCAATCGAGTGTGCAAGCCCCGCCCTAAAACGCCTTTGCCGGCAAACAGCGCTAAGCCAAAGCATTTCATGGAATGGAGTTTGAGTTCATCTTAGTGTACCTCTCGTGAGGAGCTTTCCAGGATGCCTTAGATGATGACAATTGTCCAAGAAATACCAAATGTATGTCCCATTCAAAGTAAAACTTTAACCCTTTAGGGCCCACAATTATTTCAAGGAATGCACTGCATACGCGAGCCCAGGTACTTATCTGGTCGTTACTTTGGTGTCCTTTGGCCGATTTTGGTGATCTTGGGCTTTCTGGAAAGCTCTTGGCCAGAGGAACACAGCGATACCCAACTGTTGTCCCTGCCCTTTTGGCACGTGTGTGCCCCTTTTGGCACGTGTGCGCGGACTGCGCCGGTTGCGCATGCTTGCGTGATTGTCGTACATGTTCTTGCTGTTGTGTGCATGCTTATCGTGCGCATTCTGCTTGTTTTGGGTGCCTTCTTCTTGAGACTCTCTTTGGAGCAACAGCGATAATCTGTTCTCTGAGTGTGGCGTCCGTGTGATATGAGATATCGAGAGTAATCGGAAGGGCTATCGTGCAAGGGAATAAAACCACCCGACGACAATCCATTATGGAATCCACAGAACCAGCGCCGCTGCGCGATTCGGCGCTCCAAAGCCAGCATTGCGAGCGCCCAACTCAAATTCTCTGTCATTTCAACAAAATGTATCGCAGATCGCTCAAATTTATTTTACATGAGAGCTGAGAACCATGCCTTTACGATGACGTGAACTATTTGTGGCTGTGCGGGCCGCGAGTCAGGGAAAACCCCCAAAAACGAGTTCAAAATGCACGCGCCCGAGGTGACTCTGCTGAGCGAATTTAGTTCGAGTCTCATAACTCCGCTCTCCGACCTTGGATCGCCTTCGGGTTTTTTTTAGCCGATAGCTGAGACAATTCTAATGTCGATAGACCTTTCGATGGTGCGATTTGGTCAAGGGACGGCCCAGTTACGCCAGGTTGCGCTTTGAAAAGTATGCAATATACACTGGTACGGATATATCCGTACTATGGGCCTCAAAGGGTTAAAGAGTGCAATTCTCTGTATAGTTGAAATCGGATGGTGAGCCAATTTAACCCTTTACCACGGCACATACTTTTATCGATCACCGGTGATCGATAAATTCTACACTTTTCAAATATTTTGAAACGACAGTAACTTGGTCAATTCTCAGTTGTTTGGAGAGAACGAAATATGAAGGAAGAAGGGAAAACTCTCAGCTGTCGTCTCAAACAATCGCCGAAGCGATAGCATGAACGGTGAGGGAGTTACGATGTGCTGTAGTGTTCGTCACTGTCAATTGGCGCTCAGGGCCGCGATGCGTGACTGACCGGCCGGGATTTTCCCTGAACTCGTCGGCTGTTGGCAAGGATACACTCATTCAAATTCGAACAGAGGTTCCTGCGAGTGCCCACAAAAAAATTCAGCTTCATACGAGCAAGGAAAGTGAAATAGCGGATGGAGATCGATCTAGAGCGCGAGTCCCGCGCTGAAACGCCTTCGCTGGCTTGCAGCGCTGGTCCTGGGCATCTCTCTCGTGGACTCGAGAGTTTTTTTGGGCTCATCATGTTCCTCTCGTCAGGGGATTTCCAGGATGCCCAAGATGATGACAATTGTCCCAGGGAAACTAAAGTTACGTCCAATTCAAGGTAACGAAATTGAGGGCACAATTCTCCATATACATTGAGTCCAGTCCATAAAGGGTTAAAGGGGAAGTATACCCTAAAATCAAATTTTCACCAGTTGTAGTCTTCAGGGTGCTGAGTCGAATGGTCTTGGTCCGAGGAAGCTGAGACGCTCCCTTCCTCCTTTATTCCCAATCGAACTCGCGCACTTCCACCGAAACTGGGTGACTGCGCCCTACTAGATGGGGATTTGTATGCAAAATGTCACTAAAAGCGCCATTTCGTTCTTATAAAAGCACGGATGACCGCGATTGGCCCATATGATGTAGTCTTTTGGACGCTGAGTCGACTGGTTTTGGTCCGAAAAGGCTGCGATGCAGCGTTCCTCCTTTATTCCCAATCGAACATGGCTGAACAAGCGGTCACGTGCTCCTGCGTACACCAGTCAGCTGGTCACCGTGCCTGCAGGGTACAACTTACTAGCCTGTTTGACCTTTTTTGGGTGCAGTCCTGTCACTCGAGTTGAACTCGAGTTGAACCTTGGTGTGAAAGTTGTCGCCTGCTGCCGCGGTGACCAGGTGATTTGGGCACCCAGGAGCACGTGACCGCTTGTTCAACCATGTTCGATTGGGAATAAAGGAGGAACGCTGCATCGCAGCCTTTTCGGACCAAAACCAGTCGACTCAGCGTCCAAAAGACTACAACATATGGGCCAATCGCGGTCATCCGTGCTTTTATAAGAACGAAATGGCGCTTTTAGTGACATTTTGCATACAAATCCCCATCTAGTAGGGCGCAGTCACCCAGTTTCGGTGGAAGTGCGCGAGTTCGATTGGGATTCAAGTAGGAAGGGAGCGTCTCAGCTTCCTCGGACCAAGACCATTCGACTCAGCACCCAGAAGACTACAACTGGTGAAAATTTGATTTTAGGGTATACTTCCCCTTTAAAGGGGAAGTCCGGTGAAAAATTTAAATTTCAGGGTCGGTAGAGTTTCGGGCGCTGAGTCGAATGGTGTTGGTCCCACGTGTCTCCGACAAAGCGTTCTCGAGATATTTCCGTTTGAAAAACTGAGTTTCGGGGGCTGCGCCATGACGTCATGCGGCCGCGCCACACCCTCTGCAACGTCATAGCGTGCAGCTAGGTCAAAAGGGGTGCGTGAAAGTGTCAGTGCTATTTCAAATGATTTGGCGACTGATATAATTTATTAGTTGGTGCAAGCGACCCCGAAGACCTGTAACTCCTTGTGAGAGTGAAGATGCAGCCATGGCTGACCTTCATGAGTTCGGTCTGGGGCTGAGAACCTCGGTATTCAGCTGAAGAAATGGCCGCGCGGGCCGGTCAAGAGTGAGCGCTACTGAGTTTCCCGCTGATGAAGAAGCAGCAGCTATTGCAGAAGAGGCTGATGTAATTATCAGATCGCTGGAGAGCAGGGTCGCCAAAATGGAGAAGAGTGATGCGAGTGCTCTAAATGTTGTTCCATACCGATTCGCGTAGACTCCAGTAGCCTGCCACATGGTGATGTTTTGGTGCGAACTTGGAATATTTCGGACTACTCAATTGGAGAACAGTGCAGGCTCTTTGAACCACGGGCACGACTCTTCGCTCGCAACGCTATGGAATCTGAAAGTTCTAGGTCCGGGAGCTGTTCGCTGTCTTGTCACTTGTCACGGTTGTGCACTCATCGCTGTAGCATAAAATAATGAGGCGGGAGCGGAAAACTAAAAGTAATTTTCTTTCTCCAAGCACAATCACCGGCACCGGCAAGGAGAAACGCACGTTCTCTGACTACATGACTGTACAATACGACTGATACGAGTGTAGTACATTACAAGTCCGTGTGTTGACTAGTTTTCTGAGTCTTGTGTCAGTTGTGACCCGAGTCTTGTTGTAGATACTACCCCAGCACGGCAGTGCGGGAGTACTGTAGTTCCGTCTGTGATGAGTTTGTTGACTGCACTACAGCAAGATAACACACTGCACGCACTGCAATCTCTGCATGCACGCAGCGCGCACAGCGCTAGCGCGTAGAGGCTGACGGAAAAAGTCCAACTCGGAAACGGCTAAAATACGGTATAACCTCGAGGTTTACCAAGCTGAAAATCACAGAGTACGTAGTGTTTGTAACACTGAATCGAATGGTCTTGGTCCGAAGAAGCTGCGACAAACGGTTCCCCAATCGAACGCGCTCCGAATATGGCCATTTTGTACACAACTAGATGGTGTGGCTACCTGGCTGCACGCTGTGACGTCATCACCTGGATCTGGGTGATGCGCGCTCAAATTCGCACATGTTCGATTGGGCGTATCTGACGAACCATAAGCCGCAGCCTCCTCGGACAAAGGCCATTCGACTCAGCGACCCGAACTCTACGGACTGTGAAATTTAAATTTTTCACCGGACTTCCCCTTTAATTATGGTTAAAAAAAATTAAAAAAGGAGAGGTTGGTGCGACTTCGGCGATAGTTGAGGAAGAGTGTGTTGCTCCCTACATGGGAGCTCGCGGTTTTCCTGCCGACTTGAATTCTCACTTGACTGACTCACGACTGCCACCCAGAGCACACGAGAAGTCCATCGAACCGTCCACTCGGCAAACCTGCAAGAACGCCCCACTCCCTGCTCAATACACAGTGTTTCGGGGAATTCACCCCTCATCAGTTGAGCTTGAGTAGGCTGAGGAAAATTGTGCCTGAAGAGCACCACTTATATAGTGCTCTCCAGGCCAGGGCCGGCGCCACTAGTACGGCCGCTTTACTTCCCAAAAAGTCGGTCCACGTGGAATGTCCAAAACCGGGGAGAAAACGCTTCGATGCATGATTTTGTACAGGGAGTTGCCCAGAGTGCAGGATTTGCCGTCTAAATTCCTAACTTTTCTGGGGGAGAACCCCCCCCCCCTCCCCGACCCCCCCCCCCCCTCCTTCAAGATGGCCCTTTGGCCGCACCGCTCCGCAGAAGCTGCCGCCGGCCCTGCAGGCACAAACATCACCAGGGATACAAACTTACAGAGACGCTCCGTTTCCAGCGCGACAAACACCTCGTGAACACCAGATAGCAGCGTGAGTCAGGGGCGCTCATGGAGGTGCTGAACAAGCGCTGAGGACCGTTGGCCATTCACAACGTTGTTGCCTCCAAACCCTCTGATTCGCAAGCCCGCGCTGGGGACAACAATGTGAAGAAGAGGTTGGTGCGACTTCGGCGATAGTAGGGAAAGAGTGTGTTGCTCCTTACATGGGAGCTCGCGGGAAAAAAAAAAAGAGGAGGACAAAATGTTACGAGTTATGACTAACTGTCTGCCAACGTAACCAGATCTTATACACACTCGCACTCGCTGACTGTATAAGATCTGGTTACGTCGGTGGACAGTTAGTCATAACTCGTAACATGTTGTCCTCCTTTTTTACCATAATTCTCTGTACACTGTATAATGGAAATTTTTGTCCTTTGTATTTTGGATATCTGCAGGCAACTTGTTCATTACCTTGGTAGTGATTGTCGCTGCGATTTCATCTGTGAATGGTAAGCAGTGATGTGAACCTTCTTCCAGCCCTGCCATGACTGCACAACATTTCCATATTGCTTGTAGTCGTTCTTGAAGCGTACCAAGGACATCTTCACTTGTGACTACTTCCTCCGCGTCATTTAAGATTGTCGCTTTGCACATCGCAATATTTGTGACTTGGCTCGTCTTCGTCAGACAGTCGGAATCGCTGTTTTCTGTGTGCGAACACTGGTGCGACCTTTCCTGCGCAATGTCTACTTGTTACTGAAGCCGTGGTGGTCTCGGACTTTGTCGGAGCTCTCTTCCGCAACAACCAAATTCATCGCGCTCCGCACTATTCCGCCCCAGAGCGCATTTCGTTTTCTGGAGTTCGTGCCGTCCCACATCGTTCGAGTGAGCATTTATCAAGACTGCAAGCCCGGGTATACGAATCCTGGTATCTCTCCTGAATACGAAATGCTGAAGTTGACAATGGCAAGAACAAAGTGGTCTCAAATTCCTAAAATGCGCTACTTGTGGCGCATGTTGCTGCGAAGTTAGCAGGTCTGAAAACACCGACAAAATCAGCGAAGCGCTTGCCAAGGAAAGAAGGTGCGGAACTGCTTACCCTATCCCGCTGGAAGGTCGTTACAGTGTACTTGAAAAATGCTAGCTTGCCTTCATCCCCTGCCACCTGGAGGCATGGATCGCTTGAAAACAAAGTTTCTTGACCTGAATTTGAACGCGCGTCTTCTTCAGCGTATTGTTGAGTGCTGAAGGGTCTGCCTCAAACTCTGATGAAGACGTCGACCGTAGCTGCAAGTGCAGCGAAGCGGGAGGCCACAAACTAAAGCTTGGTCCGTCGACAATGCTCTGCCTCAATTTCTAGCTGATTTCTTTGCCCCTCGAGTGGACAAAATAAATTCGAAAAATCGCTCTGGGAAGCGACAATTTTAATGACGCAGAGGAAGTAGCTTCGTTTACAACAAATAACAAGTGTTTGTGTGGACACAGAGAACAACAGAGATGAAAGGCAAAGCAAAGTGGGCAGGTACAGCTAAAATGAGTACGGTACAACCTTCATCCCGGACAGCACGCCGCCGCATAGAGGCAAACATGGATTATTGTAGGATTCCCTTTCCTAATAGTAATACCAGACACTCAAACTGTTCATATCGATAGTAAAACTAATGTTACTTGTCATGACGGAGAAGAGAGAAAAGGCAAGAAACACGTGGGCATGCGCGCAGCTTACAAGGCCAGAGATTCGTCACGTGGACAGGAGCAGGAAATACGAAAATGTAAGAAATAATAAGTAATCATTGGCCTATACTACACAATTCCCCTCCTCTCACCATTCACGACCTCGTGAATAACAGGCAAGCAGGGCAAAAACAATTAAATTTATGATAATTACGGATATACAATGACCTAACTACGAAACATAGTCATCAAATCTCGCAGGAGCAGTGCGGATCCGGCCTGATCGACGCACTAAAACTGGAGAAGGAGGTAGAGGGGATAGGACAACAGGCGGCGACAACGGAGGCGTACTGGGAACAGAGTCATCGGCATCATGTGGCACAACAGGGACAAAGTTATTAGCTGAAAAACTCACTGGGTTGGGGAGATCATGGACAGAAGACGGTAAGGAAACTGGGCACGAGGAAGTAACTGGCTTCAAACGATTGAAGTGGACAGTACGTTCAACTCCCTTCAGCAATAATGTATATGACGTCGGACCATTAACACGCACAATAGTATGGGGGCCAGACCAGAAACGATGAAACTCCAGTCTCTCCGGAGGCGTGGGTTCGAATCCCACCGCTGCCACCAATGTAGGATTCCCTTTCCTAATAGTAATACCAGACACTCAAACTGTTCATATCGATAGTAAAACTAATGTTACTTGTCATGACGGAGAAGAGAGAGAAAAGGCAAGAAACACGTGGGCATGCGCGCAGCTTACAAGGCCAGAGATTCGTCACGTGGACAGGAGCAGGAAATACGAAAATGTAAGAAATAATAAGTAATCATTGGCCTATACTACATTATGAGTGGCATAAAAGAACACAATGATCATAGGTGCATACACTAACTTCACAGTGGGATGTGCATCCACTATTTCACTCCATGTATTTCAAATATTCGTGAACGGCAGTTCTCGACAATAGTAGGAAATTCTCAGCGTTGAATTTCTACAGGCTGTAGATACCTGGAAAAGCTCGATTTCCCGCCACGGAAAATAAAAAAAAGTCTTGATTTGGGGTGCTGGCGCTTCGCCTGATTTACGGCCGTCTAAGGAGTCAGCACAACGTTGGGTTGGAAAGGATGTGCGCAGCGCCAGCAAGTCGTTCGACGACTTTATGGCGTCCCTCAAAGCCATCGCAAAGAATGCCGACCTTTGCACTCAATGTAAGGAGTAGCAAATTGCGACAAGAATCATGTGTGGAGTGCTTTGTTTTGAGACGCGCCACAAGCTACAGTCCATACATCTATTTCCGTCATTGAAGCCAGTCATATCTGCCGGTCACGGGAGGCAGCTGTGAAAGACAACGCTAACTTATCAACCTCTAAGTCACCCAAGATTCTGATCCAGACGGAAAATACTGAGGCGGGGCCCGAAACTCGATGCCGTTCCTGCATGGACCCCGTAGGGTATTGCCAGAATGTGTCCCAGATGTGTTAGCACGTTGTCTGGGAGATGAGGCACTTGTGGACCGCCCAACCTCCGGCACTTCGGAACCAGCGCTGGCAGGCAGAACATTGTCGGCCATCTCTTTGTTCTGATACAGGTTTTCTGTGCTCACCGAGGCATTTGTGACGAGGCAAACCACTCCTGGAGAAGAGACGACCGCACTGGGCACAAGGTACCCACAGAGCCGCACAAACGGGTTCGGGCGGGGCAGAACATTGTAAGCAGCCCGCCATTCTCGTCTATCCTCGGCCAAGTCGTACCATTTGTCGATGCCCAGCACTGCCAGATCCTTCCGCGCAGCATCGTGCCACCTTTTCCTCGGGCCGCACACCAGACGGACAGAATGTAGGGTGCCAAACAGTAGCTGACGCGGGGCACGCTCTTCATGCATTCGCACAACATGCCCAAGCCACTCCATGCTTCGCGATGTCAGCAGGCTGGGGATGTCGCGGGGTTGACGCGGATTCCATTGCGCCAGAACGTCCACCCTGGTCACTCGTTCGTCCCGGACATTCCGCTGGCTGATACCCATTATGGAACAGATGAAGCGCGGATGAAAAGAGCACAGTGCATGAAGGTCGGGCTTCAACGGCACCCAGCACTCAGCACAATACAGAAGCAGAGACAACACATATGCATCGTACACAAGCCGCTTCGTAGTAAGGGAAAGGTTGCTGTCATTGAAAACCGGCTGGCGCAGTGCTCCAAATGCACGTGATGCACCGGCAATGCGCGAGCTGATATCCGGGGTGGATCAGCCATTCGTGTGAAGGAGAGAGCCCAGATAACGAAAACTATCCACACACTCGACCACCTCACCCGCCACGTCCCGGGGCAGCCAGTCAGCTTCCGTGAGTCCATATCCAGCAGCCATCACCTTTGTCTTGGCCAGGTTGACTGTCAAGCCGAAAGAAGACGCTACATGTATGAATAGGTCAAAGGCCCGCTGTGCACCATCATGAGTGGTAGCCAGCAGAGCAGAGTCATCCGCAAATTGACACTCGTGATGGACCTTGCTCTTGTCTCTTGGCTTCCGACTGAATAGAAGACCGCCCCCAGGGTTTGTTGCCACAGGAATACCAATGCCAGGAATGTCGGCAACAGCACAATGCCACTGCCGGAAAACGGCCCACATGAACAGATTAAAGAGTACCAGTGCCATGCAGCAACCCTGCCGGAGACCGGCACACACACGCGCGCACACACACACACACACACACACACACACACACACATGCACACACACACACCCATGCACACACACACACACACACACATGGTCACGCACACGCACACACACATGGTCACGCTCACGCACACGCACACAAACACACACTACACACCACACACACAACACACACTACACACACTACACACCACACACACCACACACACAACACACACCACACACACACAACATGCGAAAATATCGACCACAACTAAAAACTACGCGGTCTTCAGACCCTGTTGTAGCGCGATTTCCTGGCCTTTTCGTGGAGTCAACACTAGAAGACGGTATTTACTTATTGATTTCAACCATACTCTCAAATCAACAAGAAACAACAAAGAACAACGATCGCCAAATCGCTGTCATCAGCAAAACATGCACGTGTGTGTGCATTGGCTTGCGTGTACATCAGTGCGTGCATGAATGATGAAGAGATAGAAGATCGAAGAGTAGAAAAGCAGATGATCACAATGAATCATGCATGATGCATCGATGAGTCAACATACAACTTAACCATGGATATAATAATAAAGGCGACAGCAAAGGTCCACGTCCAAAACCGCAGGTGCAACAAGGAAAAGTCACAGTGCAGAACAAACAGAAATTCAAATCGAAAGGAGATAAATATTGTGGAGATGAAGCAAATCGGTTTGGTCTGTCAGAGGGTGCTTGCGCCCAGCAACAAGGTGACAGCAAACCCTGTCAGAGTGAGTCAGTGTACAGAATAGGAATACATAGACCGCAGCATGCAGTGGAGTTGCTGTGGAGAGCGAGAATGCAAGCAACCACGTAAGTACTATCTACTGTAAAAGCCATTATTCTAACGAGGCGCATATAATTATCTCGATTTCCCAAAATTGACTAGTTTACGTGCACCAAAGGTAACGATTCTCACTCATTCAATAGGACAGTATATGTATCGATTTCTATTTTAACGACAGATTTCTCCTCGTTAACTCGTTTGAGTTAGCACTTCGTTATAATATAATTATGACTTTTACAGTATGCAACTGATTATATCGGCATATACGACAAACACGCACAACTGTATCGTAACAACGCACTCGTAAATGATGTTATCACATTCACAACGACACTCATTCTATTTCAGCGCAGTCTCCTGTCCAATCACACTCGTAAATCTCGCACACTCCCTCCTTGACAACATGACAACTGACACTCATAAATCTCGCACACCACACACACCACACACAGCGCACAGCACACACACAGACACGCACACACACCGATGACAACGGAAACTGGGAGCGAAAGCCACGCAGAACGAATCCAAAAATTGCAGTATACAACAGTTCCACCACCGCTGCCACCAATGTTGTATGTGGACTTTCTCCACCTGCTCCCAACCACGTACCATCTCCACTTATATACAATGGACGACGAGATAACTATTATTTATAAAGACGTATTGACACGACGACGAAACGCAACTGAACATGACAAGCTCAAGACGAAGACTGCTTTTCACACCACAGCAACACGCACATTCACCAACACCACGTACACACGACTTACACACGATAACGCACTACAACAGATTTGCTTCACTGAACGGGTAGCTTCTTTCTGTGTGTAGTGAATGGAATGACCTGTATTATTGTGTGTGCTTTTCTGTGCAGGTCAATCTTTGGACTTGAGGGCTGTTCGCCTAGGTACCACTCCGTTCACAGCTTACTACCTGACTGGACAAAATACATCACAAATTGGAATACAGAATTTACCATCATGCCTGGCTGTTGGTGCTACTGGTTCACTTATTCAACTGACTAACACTAACACTGGTGTGGTTGTTGGTGAGCATACCCAACCATTTGCTGACGATACCTTTGGTGTTACACCTGCTGCATGGGACTTTACCCTACATCCCACTCTCAACCCAAGCTACACTGGACTGTACAGATGTACATCGGATATAACGGGTCGTATGACAGCGACACAAACCTATCAACTGCATGTCGTTGGTAAGTAGGAAGTATCAATACAGACCAACTTGCTGTGTACTTGTGCTGGATGATTTGACGTACTTCTATACTGTACGACACTAATATTTTGTTGTAACATCCAGATTTGTTAATTTCAGCAGAGACGCCAGGTACTGTGTGGCACTTAATTTTAGGTATACCACACATAGGGTGCAGTGGGATAACAAACCACACATAGGGTGCAGTGGGATAACAAGCTAAGCAATCTCTTTCTCAGAATACTTGTGTAGTGATGCTATCATCAGGGCACACTGCTTGGCTAAAGGGTGTATGAGTGTGGCCGGGAATACTATTTTCTAACTGGGAGAGTACCCATTCGCGCCAGCTTGAACGGTTCATCTGCCATACATGAAGTATTTCTATAACCTATGGGTTGCTACCCCATGGAACACTTAGTTTTTCTGGTCATAGTATACCCAACCCTCGGTTTGGTTGGTCCTCTTTGCCACTGTGGAAATATCTAAATGAAGCTGTGTATACAAACATGTACATACAAGTATCTGGACTGATTTGAAGAAGAGTACACTTCCATAGATCATTGATAAACATTTTTACGTCTTGGAAGGACAGCGGTGGCGGTGGCACTTTTATGAATTCCACCACGATCCATAATGGGTCTTTTGGAACTGCAGTAAAACTTATGATCACCAGACCTTCGCCCTAGCGAAATCCTGTAATGATCAGACAAACTTTCGTAAACTGACATACAGCCATTGAACATTTTTCTTGGGCAGAATCTTGTCGAACGTAGAAAGCGATTATGTTGTTTTGGTGTCCCCACTCTCCGAGGCACTGTGTGTTCTTAGACTTCGGGGTTAGGAAGGACTTTATTCTGAGATCTTACTCTGCTTTTAAATAATAAATAAAACAAATTTGACGGGTTCGCGTACCGGGCAGGTCAAGAACAAGGAGGTCAAGAACAAGTCGTACAAGGAGTCGTACAACTCCCTGGTCAAGAACCACCTTTCCGCTTCCGTGGGACGCCACCACCCCATGATCAGGCGTCAGATGCAGCTCCTAAACGGTGGGGAAGGCTAGATCAGATCCACCAACCATAGGCCAAAGGCCTAAATCCCATTTGCCACATCCATGATTTACTCCTGCCAGGCCACGAGTTCCCAATTAAAGGGGAAGTTAAGGCAAAAATTAAAATGTCACCAGTTGTAGTCTTCGGGGTGCTGAGTCGAATGGTCGTGGTCCGAGAAAGCTGAGACGCTCCCTTCCTACTTGAATCCCAATCGAACTCGCGCACTTCCACCGAAACTGGGTGACTGCGACTTTCCGTGTTACGATGGCGGGCGGGAGCACTTTTGGAGCTCCGCCTCGCATCACTTTTTCCTTTCAACTTGATCCTCTTTGGGAGATCGATCATGTATTCTTCATTAAGGAACTAGCTAGAAATGGAGTCAAGCCCGACGAACTCCAGCAAGTGGACCTGCATGGCAGACCAGGCTGGTGCACTGTCACCCTCAAGCATGCTGCCGCCAGGGATCGCCTTGTGTCCACGTCTTTCAAAATTGCTGGTAAGGCAGTAGATATTGTCATTGGAGACACCGAGCTCATTAGCTTACATGTGTTTGGCTGTCCGTATCACCTGCATGACGGTGCATTGTCTTCGGCCATAAGCCAGTATGCAACGATTCACGGGTCTCCTGCTAGGAAAAAAATCCTGCACGAAGGGTTCTCAGTTGAAACCGGTACTCGCTTCTTGAAGGTGACATTGCGAAAGCCAGTTCCGTCTCTTGTTCGCGTGGGTCAGACCCCCCTACGCATCTGGTACAAAGGGCAACCCCAGACATGCTTCCGTTGCGCAGCACCAGGCCATAAAGCCAGTGAATGCCCACGCCGAAAACCTCCAGCTAGTCTGTCAACAAGTACGGGATGCACCGAAGTGAACAGGTCAGCAGCAGACCCTCAAAATACGCATAGTCAAGAGGTTGCAGCTGCAGGATCAGTGCATGTGCAGCAGGATGAACACTCCCGGGAAAACGCACCTACGAGTATGAGCTACGCGCAAGCTGCTACCAAATCAAGAGAAAGTAGCAGCACAGATTCCTGTGGAAAGCACTCGAGCGACAACATGGCACCAACTGAACAGAACACTGACTCTTCTCCACCAGACATTCAACACACCATCACAGTATCAACAACACCCATGCAGCATTTCCGAGGGAAATCAGGTCACTCTCCAGATGAGGACTCGCAGGACTACAAAGTTGCCTTTGGCCATCACGCATTCAAGCCATCTGCATTGCCCCTGGGAAATAGTTCTGAGCAGCAGGACCCACAGGTGGAATGGGCGAATGAGGCCAGCAGGCGAGAATTGGCCAAGCATGCAGCCAAAGTTGCAGCACAGCGCTCCAGGAAATCCAGCGCATGAACAGTTGTGTGGCACAAAATTCATTGCATATTCCAATGTCCTTTTACATGTGCAACTATGTATGTTCTCTGCCCTGGTCGTTCTTTCGTAACAGTGCCCACAAGTATTTTCTTAAAGGTTCGTTTTACTTTCTTCTCCTTTTTATGATGTCAGTGTTAAATCCGCATGCACAGCCTTTCACTCCCTCTCACATAAATTCTGCTCCTTTCAGTACTGGCCATCAAATCCCTACTTACCCGCAGAGCCCCGTGCAACACACCCGAGTCTCTGGATGCATCACTGCAGCGTTCATTAACATCTGTAGCTTACGACGTAAAACGCGCGAAATCCGCAGCTTCCTGGAGACGCGGAACTTTGCTGTCCTTGGTATCGCTGAAACCTGGCTCAATGAGACAATTAGCGACGGAGAGCTACATATACCTGGCTATTCCCTTCTAAGGCGCGATCGATCAACCGGCATGGGTGGCGGTGTTGCGTTTTACCACAAGGAGAGCCTCATAGTCAGTCGCCACAGAGAAGCCCAACATACCAACATAGAAAACATATGACATGATAGCCCTACGCACCACACGCAAAGATCGGGTGCTTTTAAACTGCATGTATCGCCCACCTTCTGCAACGGCGGACTTCTGGAGAGCCTTCGAGGACACCATAGAGAGCATGACCTGTCAAGTGGGGGATAGATTCATTGTCATGGGCGACTTCAACGTCGACATGCTGGGTCACTCACCCACCCTACGGTCATTCCAGCAAGTATTGCACAGTTATAATCTTACCAACATGATAACTGCTCCAACTAGAGTCACGTCCCACTCCGCCACGGCGTTGGATTTAGTCATTTCTCCTCCCGACAAGGTAGTGTCCTGTGAAGTCATTGCGATCGATGTCAGCGATCATGCTGCTGTCTTAAGTCATCTCAAGCCAGCAGTTCTCTCTTCGGCCCCAAATCCAAAAATGTCAAGGCACCTTCGAAGAATAGATTGGACGCAGTTCAGTTCCGATCTTCAGGCCTTCGGCATTAACCCTTTGTGAGTCCACTGGTTTCGGAGAAAATGACCAAATTTTCCATTCCGACAATAATCCCCTGTAACTCCACAGTTTTTGAGAATTTGTAATTAGAAGTTGTGTTTTTCTGAATGGAATCGTTCGGCTGAATCCAAAAAACTATGTTAGAATGTTGCCATGGTTACCAATGTTGCCATATTAGGCACATATTAGAGAGGTTCCGCACTACGTAAAGTTGAGCTACTTTACGTTAGTGGGCGGGAAAAACCCGTGAATTCGCGAGTTTGCACTCCACTTACGGAAAGTTGTCTGCGGAGAGTACGTAGATAGGGCTCTGATAACGTAGCTGGTCCGTAAGTGGATTGGGGTACAAATTTATGACTCTCTCCCCAGGTCGATCTGGTCGTACACTGCCGGCCATGCCGCGTTCGGAGTTTCCAAGGGCAGCTACGTGATTTGAAAACTCCGTATGGCGGAACCCAGATGCGCATGCAGTTTACGTAAGACTTTCCGTAGATCGACTACGTTTTTTACTAACGTAATTACGTTATGCGGAACCTCTCTATTGTCATAATCAATAGCCGCATTATTTACAGAGCGCACCATAGGAAGGAAATGAAACCATACTTTTATGTACAAATATACAGTAGACAAGATAGAAACTCACAGCACTGAGATAAGATATCCTTCACGGGAAGTGGCGTGCATGGTAAGCGGCGTAGCAGTCGTGGTCGCTCGTGATGTGGAGGTGAACATCGCACGTAGTGCAGTAGGTTACACACTGGTGCTGCTTGTTACCCACTTCTGTGCAGTTTCTGCAGTTCTTCCTTTTCCTCACTCCAGGTATGTGAAGCTGAGCAACAGAAACCTGGACATCCTGCGGAACAGGCACTGGGCGATACGAGCGCTTCGGTGGCGGTGCATGCTCATCAATCGATGACAGCTGCCGGATGAGGTTACAGCGGAAATCCGAGTGCTGCAAGTTGCATCGTCGACTTATCACCCCTGGATGCTGGCTCTGCCACAAGTGAAAGAGGCGGTATGCATTGACAGCGCACACGTCGACCATATCCAAGAAGAGACTCTTCCAGTATTTCTTCGTTTTGCGAAGCACACGGTGCGTTTCGATCAGCTGATCGAACGTGTCGACTCCACCCATGCTGCTGTTGTAGTCTCTGATGCACATTGGCCTCTGCACTTCCATTTGCTGGTGTGCACCATCAATCTTGACATTTCTTGTTACTGTGTCATGCTCATGGCCCTGATGTATGTTGCTGTACATTGACACACACCGCTTGTCCTTCCATTGCTGGTACAGGTGATCTCCGTTGCGAACATAGCGTGTTGCACCTCGCTCTGCATGTTTCTCGAACTGTTTCATGTCGGTCCGCAATACGGCTGGAAATCCAGTGCGGTTCGCGCGGACGGTGCCAACCAACGATATTTGCTTGGTACGAAGAGATGTGGCCAGGGTTTCGGAAGTGTAAAAATTGTCCGTGTAGATCACACTTCCGGCGCGCACGTCACTGACCAGCCGCATCACCACAGCATGAGTCAGGCCATTTTCACCTCCAGGTTGCTGGCCTGTGTAAACTTCAAAGTTTACAACAATGGAGCTTTGGGCGTCGCAGGCAGCGAAGACCTTGAAGCCCCATTTGACGGGCTTTTTGGGCATATACTGCGTAAAAGGAGCGCGTCCCTTGCACTTGACCATGCGCTCGTCAACACTAACGCACTTGCCAGGGATGAACAAACTCTTGCAGGCCGCCTGCAGATGGTCGTGAAGGTATCGCACCTTACGAAGTCGATCATTTATATCCTCTGCCCTGAAGTCCACAATCTTGATGAAGCACATCAGCGCTAAGTACCTCCGGTAGGTTCGAATCATGCAGCGTGCATAGTTTCCGTTGTACAACGACGTAACGCGCCAGTAGTCCCTCGTCGCAGGCAGATGATGAAATCCCTGGAAGAAGAGAAATGCAAGGAGGCCGTAAAACTCATTACGGTCGGTCTCCTTCCACACACCATCCGTCTGGTACGTCTTTTTTTCAGCGATATGCTTGTGCGCATACAAATTTGTAAACTTGACAATTGAATCCACAACTTCGTCCGGGAAATATAGTTTGAAGAAATCAAGTTCACATGTTGGAGCGAAATTATCAGGTAGGTTCAAACAGTGCCAGTTATGTTGAACTCAGGTGTATTGGTTTGCAGCTGGTCAACATCATCATAGCCACTACAATTTTCGTACTGTATACCACGTCCTCGTCCTTGCCCTCTTGCAGCTCCGCGTCCTCGCCCTCTTGCAGCTCCACGTCCTCGCCCTGTCGCAGCTCAATGTCCTCGCCCTGTCGCAGCTCCACGTCCTCGCCCTCTTCCACGCGCGGGACACCTACTGCTTGGCCTCTGCCTCGTCCAGCGCCACGTCCACGAGCAGCGACGGGAACAGGAATAGCGATATTGTCAGCCGAATCGGATCCTATTTGCTCCAAGTCGGAAAAGAGATCGTCATTCAGGCGATCTTCCTCGTCAGACGAAATAAAATCGTTGTCCGAGTCACCTACCTCGTCGCCTGAAGAGCAAGCGATATCCTCTACTGGGAGATCTGCTTGGTCCGCGTCTTGTATTAGGCGAAGAGCCTCGTCTGCATCCATCGCTGGATAAGTCCAAATTCTAATTTTGACATAATTGCAAAGGCTCTTTGAAAGCGTGCTATCAAAAAAAATTTAGTGGCGACCTACATCATGTTTAGTACCTACGTCACGGAAATTTTCTCAGCTACGCGGTGGTGAAGTCTCGGCGCGATGCGGTAAACCAGTCAAGCGCGACGATCAAAAATGTGACGCGCATTTGAAACGAGCGAAATCGCTCGTTGAGCGCACAAAGGGTTAACAGTTTTACATGCAACACGAGTGATTGCGACTCGATGGTGGAAGAATGGTACACGAAGCTGAAGGCAGTCCTCGACCTCCATGCCCCGGAGACGCTTTCCAAACGGCGGCGACTCCCTTGCCCTTGGCTGACTCCAGAACTCCAGCAGGCAGTTCGAGCACGAAACAGGTTCCATCAAAGTCTGAAGCGTAATCCGGCGGATGCTGAGCTTCTCAAGAAACATCGAGATCAACGCTCCATTTGTCGTCGCTTGGACCGGAAACTAAGAAACCAGTACTTTCGCTATCAATGTGGATTACACCCGGCTGATACCCGAGGCTTGTGGCGCACACTGAATACGGTAACCGGTCGCCGTGTTATTCATCATGCTCCCGGCATCCCTGTTCAGGATCTGCAAGATTCGTTTTCGAGCGTTCTCTATGATCCCCAGCGACCTTCAAACTTGAATTCACATGCCACCACACCGGTACAGGAGTCCCACTTTGCCCGCTTCACGCCCCTAACCGTCCACTCTGTTGAGAGCAACTGGACATGACGACATACCAAACCTGGTCCTGAAGAAGTGCTCTTCCATGCTTGCACCGTCATTGACCCGCATCTTTAATGTTTCCTTTCAGACTGCTAAAGTCCCAGCAATGTTTAAGCAGGCCAATGTCACGCCACTTTTCAAAGGCGGTGATCCTGAACTACCGACCAACTATCGACCAGTAAGTCTCCTTCCTACTGTATCACGCCTCCTAGAACGTGCAATCCACCGTGAAGTTGTTCGATACTTCGAGTCCGAGAATCTTCTTCCGGAAACGCAGTTTGCCTACCGTCGCCATCATTCCACGGAGGACGCGCTGACACTGGCCGTACATCGATGGAGCACAGCTAGGGCCCGGAAACAGTCCACTGGTATTGTGTTTGTCGATATGTCAAAAGCGTTTGATAAGGTTCGCCACCAAACGCTGTTAGATGATCTTCACGGAAAGGGTGTACGTGGCACTGCTCTGGCCTGGTTTGCCAGCTATTTGTCGGGTCGGAAACAACGCGTTAAAGTTGGTTCTTCATCGTCATGCTACTCGGAGTGTTCAAGTGGTGTACCGCAAGGTAGCGTTCTCGGCCCGTTTCTTTTTTCTGTTTACATCAGTTCCATCGACTCATCTACCAAGAATTCGCCGATGATATCACTTTAGATACATCATCATCCAGCCGTGCAGACATCAGCTCTAAGCTTAGTGTCGCATGTACGCGTCTCGCTGTCTGGCTCAATGGACGCGGTTTGAGCCTCAACGCCACCAAGACTTGTGTGCTGCACATTGCTCCTCGGAGCACCCTTGATCCCTTGCCGCCTGTGATGTGCGATGGCACTGTACTCCCTGTTGTGTCGCAGACCAAGTACCTAGGCTTGATTGTAGACGATCGCCTGACTTGAAATAGCCACGTTACGCATATCTGTAAAACGTCTCGACAGGTTATAGGAGCACTGTGCAGAATAATTCTCTCTGCAGTCGAAGCGAATGGCGTACACATCCATGGTAGAGTCCAGGATCCGCTATGGATGCTCAGCTTTCTTTAGCTCTCTCTCCAAGGCTAATGAGGAGAGACTTCAACGCCTATGCAACCTAGCCCTGCGAGCCGTGTACAACCTTACCTCCCGTACCCGTATGACTCCCGTGTATGCGGAACACAACCTGCTTCGTGTACACCAGCTCTTGCGTGAGACAGTGTGCTCGCTGGTCTACCGGTGCCTACATTCCACCATGGAGCAGCCGCTGATCCGCGCATTATTTGGAGATTTCGTCACTCCGACTAGGGCGGGCCAAACGCGCGGCTCCCAACAACATCTGCTGCAGCTTCCATCCAGAACTCATCCCGTGTCTCTTTCTGCTGCACGCGTTTTGGAACAGTCTTCCACCTGATGCGAGAAACATCACGTCCCCCCTCCAGTTCAAGGGTGTGTTGCACGCGTATTGTCTTACTGTAGCATGACAGCAACCCCTCCCCTGTCTTGAGTACTAGTATGTAGTAATCCTGATGCTCTGATACATGCCGAGGCTAGCTGTGCTCAGTCTCCGGCTAGCTGTATGCTCAGTCTATACATTCTTGATCTTATCTTCTTCTTTTTTTTCTTTTTTTTTTCTTTTCTCTTTTCTTTAAAATGTTTTACTGCCAGAAGTCGTCTTCATATAAGGAGGCAGATATGCCTGTTTGTTGTACGACTTTAAATAAATCCAACCAACCAACCAACCAACTGCGCCCTACTAGATGGGGATTTGTAGGCAAAATGTCACGAAAAGCGCCATTTCGTTCTTATAAAAGCACGGATGACCGCGATTGGCCCATATGTTGTACTCTTTTGGACGCTGAGTCGCCTGGTTTTGGTCCGAAAAGGCTGCGATGCAGCGTTCCTCCTTTATTCCCAATCGAACATGGTTGAACAAGCGGTCACGTGCTCCTGGGTGCCCAAATCACCTGGTCACCACGCCAGCAGGCGACAACTTTCACACCAAGGTTCAACTCGAGTTCAACTCGAGTGACAGGACTGCACCCAAAAAAGGTCAAACAGGCTAGTAAGTTGTACCCTGCAGGCACGGTGACCAGGTGACTTGCGTACGCAGGAGCACGTGACCGCTTGTTCAACCATGTTCGATTGGGAATAAAGGAGGAACGCTGCATCGCAGCCTTTTCGGACCAAAACCAATCGACTCAGCGTCCAAAAGACTACAACATATGGGCCAATCGCAGTCATCCGTGCTTTTATAAGAACGAAATGTCGCTTTTAGTGACATTTTGCATACAAATCCCCATCTAGTAGGGCGCAGTCACCCAGTTTCGGTGGAAGTGCGCGAGTTCGATTGGGATTCAAGTAGGAAGGGAGCGTCTCAGCTTCCTCGGACCACGACCATTCGACTCAGCACCCCGAAGACTACAACTGGTGAAATTTTAATTTTTGCCTTAACTTCCCCTTTAACTGTGGGTCGCAGCACGGTTGGAAAAAATCCTTCCGCTTCCAAGCAGGACTCCGCAGGACTCTGCTTATGGAATGCCCTAACCAATCAGAGGTAGACCCCCCAGGGATTTCTGGGAAGATTTCATAGTACTACCAAGAATAGCATACACACTAAATACATATAAGGAGAAAGGCCCTGGGGCATATCACAGGGATACAATTGCCAAATATGAACTTCCTATACAACTACGCGAAGTATCATAATCACCACTACCAAATATAGACCTACAACAGTTTGGAGCAAGTCGCATGTTTACCTATAACAATCCAACTTCGTTCCACTCCATTTGCTTCCACTCTCTATAGTTTGGTTGGCCCAGCGGTCCAGGCCGTTTTCGATCTTTTTCGTCAACTTGCACTCCAGCGATGTAGACTTGCCAGTTGTCAGTAGTGAGCTATGAGCGAAGTTTCAAAACATGCCGAACAAGACATTGTGTGAGGTGGGCTATGATTTTGTCCACTTTACCGCAGATATTGACTCCGACTTCAGATTACGTTGCGACAACACGTTCAGTGCAACTGTGTCCAGCTGTGGTCGTAATTCATTGCTTTCTTGCTCTGTTATGTACAGCTCCTCCCGCAACGCCGGTACTTCAAACTCCAGTGTCAGTGTACAACGACACTGTATACAACATCAACTGTACCGGTGAAGGATACCCAGAACCTACAGTAACACTGATGGTCAACAATGTTGTATTGACAGGCAGTAATACAACCAATTGTACTGGTGGTGTTTGTACAAAGACACACACCGCATCACTAGATGGGAGTACGTACACACCTGGCCAGTCCATCAATATCACCTGTACTGTGGATATCAACCAACCACCATTCACCTGTACTGCTGCTGACACTTCCTCAGTACAAGCACAGTGTAATGATACTGCCAAGACTACGTCACAAACGAGAACCGTTCCTGTAGTTGGTAAGAACTAAGTTGTCTCTACAAGTGTATTAGCAAGGAGCTCATCATTTCCTTAGAGGGGAAGTTAACCTCTTTAGCACGACGCTACCGGAACGCACCCCACGTCAACACCTGTAAAAGTCGCATTTTCCCATGAAAGTACTAGCTGCTCAAGGATCGATAACTTTACCTTCCCTTGGACGAGTTCCATGATCTTGAGCTTCATGGAAAGGTCTTGAGACGAGGGACAAACTGGTGTCAAACCCAGCTCGGAGCGAAACCAAAACCCCCGTGCTACAGTCTGGCAAACTTCATCCACGCGCTCGACAGACTTGAGCACGGCCAAGACTAACCGAGCTCAAATATTCAGCTGCCATTTCGTTTTCCTTGCTCGTATCGAGCTCAAATTTTCTGTGAGGACTCACGGGATCCACTACCATCATTTGAATCTTGTTTCCATGGCAGCAGGTAGAGCAAAAATGATCCATGATGCAAAATGCGCGTTCTGCAGACTGCGCAAAAAAATCGAGTTGAAATTTGCCGTGTCGAGTCGCATATCTCAACAACCGGTAGTCGTATCGCTTTGTCGATTGTTCCTATCGCCAGCTGTGAGTTTTCTCTTGCAGATACATGTTTCGATTGTGAGAATCGACCAAGACGATAGTTTGAACAAGTCACTATGGACTCAACACGGACCCCACGACTATGAGATGCAGGTTCACTGCACAGTGTACAGCGCGCGTCGTGCTAGTACGACGGCCGTGGGGCATGAAACTCATGTGCGGCGTACTAGTACGACGCTCGCGCTTAAGGGGTTAAGGCAAAAATAAAAATTTCACCAGTTGTAGTCTTCGGGGTGCTGAGTCGAATGGTCTTGGTCCGAGAAAGCTGAGACGCTCCCTTCCTACTTGAATCCCAATCGAACTCGCGCACTTCCCCCGAAACTGGGTGACTGCGCCCTACTAGATGGGAATTTGTGTGCAAAATGTCACTAAAAGCGCCATTTCGCTCTTATAAAAGCACGGATGACCGCGATTGGCCCAAATGTTGTAGTCTTTTGGACGCTGAGTCGACTGGTTTTGGTCCTAAAAGGCTGCGATGCAGCGTTCCTCCTTTATTCCCAATCGAACATGGTTGAACAAGCAGTCACGTGCTCCTGGGTGCCCAAATCACCTTGTCACCACGCCAGCAGGCGACAACTTTCACACCAAGGTTCAACTCGAGTTCAACTCGAGTAACAGGAGTGCACCCAAAAAAGGTCAAACAGGCTAGTAAGTTGTACCCTGCAGGCACGGTGACCAGGTGACTGGTGTACGCAGGAGCACGTGACCGCTTGTTCAACCATGTTCGATTGGGAATAAAGGAGGAACGCTGCATCGCAGCCTTTTCGGACCAAAACCAGTCGACTCAGCGTCCAAAAGACTACAACATATGGACCAATCGCGGTCATCCGTGCTGTTATAAGAACGAAATGGCGCTTTTAGTGACATTTTGCATACAAATCCCCATCTAGTAGGGCGCAGTCACCCAGTTTCGGTGGAAGTGCACGAGTTCGATTGGGATCAAAGTAGGAAGGGAGCGTCTCAGCTTCCTCGGACCAAGACCATTCGACTCAGCACCCGAAGACTACAACTGGTGAAATTTTGATTTTTGCCTTAACTTCCCCTTTAATATAACACTTAGCCCAGGCCCACGGTTTCACGCCCAGGCGTGCGGGTACACATCCGCGGGCGCGCGCGCACACACACGCACCCACGCACCCACGCACGCACACACACACACACCTCAGACCTCAGACATGCCCATCGCGGAAGCGATGATAGCGAACAGCTATGTTAGACATAGCAACTTGTGCTGGGATTACACCATTCAACAGCTTGCAAGGCTGATGAATTGACCGCCACTATTTTTAGCCTGGTATCCACCACACAGCTGTTTGAAGTGACTTTTTCTGGCCAGTGAATCCCTATTTTTCATTTTTCCATTTTTTTCTACACACACACACCACACCACATACTCCGGCATACACTGGCTGTTGGTAACCACCCAGGAGAATGAAAGAAAAGTCAGGAAGAGTCCGAGAAAGAGAAGAAAGACGTGTGCGACCATAATCGTCGGGAATTGATGAACCTGCAACCTCCTTTCCACACACACGCACGCACACACACACACACACACACACACACACACACACACATACACATACACACACACACACACATACACACACACACACACACACACACACACATACACACACACACACACACACATATATACACACATACACACGCGCGCATGCACACGCGCGCATGCACACGCACGCATGCACACACACGCATGCACGTGCGCGCACATACACACACACACGCGCGCACGCACGCATGCACACATACACACATGCACACATGCACACACACACACACATGCACACATTCATGTGCACAAACATAAATTCAAACGCTCCCACGCACCCGCCTACATGTACAACGGCGTACCCCTGCGCACCCACTCACAAGCAATTAACACTTTGGGTTGGGGGTTGCCATGACTTCTTTTTGAATAAAGATGTTGAGAGAATATGCTCAATGCAGTTTGTAGTCTAATAGCATGTGATGGTAGACCGTTTCCAAAGAATCGACAATACTTGAGCTAACATATAAGCACATCCGATCGTGAGCGATTCACACTGCCCACGAATGGCCCACCGAGGGCTAGTCCACAGCTGCCCACCATGGGCCTATCACACGAGCGGCTACCAAGGCCAACAGCCAGCCCACCGGGGCTAAATGATCCTGCGTGCCGTGGACTGCTAGCATACTGCCCACCAAGGGCACACAAATGGCCGCTGCGGCCAGCAACCTGCCCACTGAGGTTGCATGCGCGGTCGCCGAGGCCAACAACTTACCCACCGAAGGTTATTATTAAAGCATTCTGCCCAGCCTAGGGCACACGAGCGGCCATCGAGGCCAACAACCTGCCCACTGAGGGCTAAAGCAAGCTTCCCGCCGAGGGCTAAAGCGTGCTGCCCACGAGGGCTGAATCACACTGCCTGTCGAGAGCCAACGGACAGCCACCGAGGCCAACAACGGGCCCGCCAAGGGCTAAAGTATACTGCCCACTATGCCGATCTCGTACTACCCAGTGAGAGCAACCAAACGACCAACGAGGCCAAGAACTCACCCACCGACAGCTGACACCACTGCCTGGCATGATTCCTCATACCACACACCTACAGTATGATGCCCGTTTGTACTCATATCCTCTTCACACACTGGCATTAAAACCCGCCAAGAACACACACACGCACGCACACACGCACATGCACACACACACACACACACACACACACACACACACACACACACACACACACACACCACACACACACACACACACACACACACACACACACGCACGCACACACACACGTACTCATGAGCATGCACCAGTATTCTCTTAACCCTTTCCGGGTTTATGACGAGTATACTCGTCATGCAGACCCCATCGCGTCTGGGCAATGACGAGTATACTCGCGCTATACTTTTTGTACAGTCCACGTACCGTACGCACTGATAGATCACTGTACAAACAGCGATAACCCTGGAACGGATTATCGCATCGCGAAGATCTATAGCTCATTGGAACGGTCTTGGAAAGGGCTTTCCAGAGGCATTTTCGGTGTGGCGATAGCTCAACAAATGATCGAGCGGCGATAAATTGAACGCGTGATTTCGATCTGAACATTTTTCTTACTTTCTGTCTGGCGATATTTTTGCGACTTTCAAGTCATTCAAGGGGATTTCCCAATGATGTGTGAAAGGCAGCATGACGTATGAGTACATCATTTGAATCGCTTGAATTTCACGAGCTCGATGCAGTTTGAATCGTAGTTCTACGTTGAGTATGAGCCCCAAACCGAAGGAAATAGTTGAGCGTGGTCTTGATGCCAAACTGGCGCACGGTAGGGACACTGTTGGCGAGGCTAGGGGCGTCCTTGAGGTGCTGTATGCTCTGAAAGTACGTGGCAGATGACGAGCAGGAAAGGAGCTTTCCAGTAAGCCATAAATTGTGAAAATCCGTTGAAACAAAAAAGTGTGACAATTTGTTTGTTGCTATCTCCACAATTGTACTGATGCACTGAATTTCAGTGCCCAGACGTAGTAAATGCACTGTGACCCTGAAAGGGTTAACCGCCATGCATTCATGTAGAATAGAAGAAACGCTCGAACACCGCCGTAAGCTACTCGCACGAGCCAACTTAGTAGCTCACTCATCTCCAACACCGCAAACTGGCCTAGAAAACAAAAAATAACAACGTGCTCACCCCCTGATCAGTACCCTGCTTGCCGGATCCTGGGTTGACGCCATCAAATACTGTCTCCTCCATCACTGCCGCCTTCCACCATAACTACCTATCCATAGCACCTACACCTGACTTCCTGCACCCTGTACCAACCTGCATACATGTACATGTAGCACCTTTCCGTGTATACAGTGCTAAATCACACACCTGATTATCATGTCCATGTGTACTAGTAAAACAATTCCCATACTGGCCGACTGCAGTATACTTGCCTGATGATCGTGCACCGCGCATGAAACTCAGAGTTGCGAGAATGCCTTGATCCATTGTTGATTTTTGCTTGTTGCTCCGGCTCTGACCCCCTGGGTTATTGAGCTCTATGTGCACACTTGGGCTTCCCCCTTGTGTTAAACCATGGAGTATAGACATTTTATGGTTACTTGTGTCACAGATATTATGTAAAACAGTTAATCGGTGACTCGTTGTTACTTTTGGCCACTGAAATCCCACTGGTTCTATTGGTACCAGCGCTTTGCCAGAGTGGTTGTGGGCATTCCTGAGAATCACAAGGTCCCAGTTCTAAATCGGTCTGGCATCTCCCTGCAGTGATGCGTGCGTGAACTACTTTATATGCTATGAACAATGCCAACACCCATGGTCAACTGGTCATTCACTACTTGAAGTGAGGATGAACATTAATGCAGTTAACAAATTCCCCCCATTGGTTGCGAGATTTGTCTTCACCCTCGCAGCTAGGCGCTGCATCTGCCACCATGGTATCTCGGGCATGGTGGTAGCCTGGTACAAGCAAACTTGCTCACCTGGTTGTGCTTCTCAGCTCAGTTGTATAGCCGGTTGTAATGAGGATGTGCGAGCTTCACTCTGCTAGGATTGGTACGGAAGCAGAGGCTGAATGTTGGGGTTTTACACCACATTTGAGTAACCACCGTGATATTGTATCTTCCTCTCCAGCACAATGTCCAGCTATCGATGCTTCTGAACGCAATTACAAACCCATTGCCACTAACAGCACCGGTGTATCTATTGAGTGTAAAATGGGATATGTGTCTGACAATGGTATGGATATCACCAACTCTACATGTCTGAACACTGGAGAATGGCAACCCAGTCTACCAATGTGTGAAGGTAAGTCTGCACAGGCTCTAGCGGCGACAACGCTCGTATACAGTCAGACCTCGCTTATCCGGTCCTCATTTATCCGGATCCCTCGCCATCCGGATCCCTCGCCATCCGGAAGAAAATTGTTGGTCACCGATTTACAGCAATGCTATGCACACACACAGTGTGTTTTTTCGATTATCCGGTTCCCTCGCCCATCCGGATATTTTTGTGGAAAACGGATGTGTGCGGTTAAGCGAGGTCTGACTGTACCAGGGATGCAATATATTATCAACTTTTGGATCAAATATTCCCTGTTTATATCTGCTTTCCAGAGGGACGAATATTCGAATTCGGACGAATATCTTTGCTCAGCTAACTATTTCTGGTAACTTGTAAATGTTGAAAACTTGGAAGACCTTCAAATTCGATATAAAGTTATAAACTATCAGGGAAGTGAACTGCCCAAAAAGAGAAAAACAGCATTTTTGAAAATGTTGACCTATAGGTCTGTTTTGCTTATCACGGCTCATAATAGTCCTGCGTTACCAAACCTTCCACTAAAAAGACCTCCTGCCAATATAAACCGCATTTGGGCCCAATGAGGCGGTTGGTAGGTTCAGGTTTTGCTGTATATAACTTATGTCTTTGTCCGTGAATGGACTATAAATTTTAAAGCCTATTAGTTTTATTGTAATACTGTTTGTGTATGTGCCACATTCCAGACTGCAATACGATTTGCAATGATAGCAGTATTATGAACTGTAGCAACATTATGGTGTCCAACATTCCTGGAATAAGTTGCCCGTGTGACGCTGGTGAAATTTGGACAAGGTCTGACCAGGCTTGTGTGGGTAAGTAACTACCCTAAGTTGCTGTTGTGAAATCCGTTCCTTTCTGCACCTTAATAACGTATAGGGCTGTTTTTGTATTTTAATTTTGTATTTTATTATATTAAGGATTTCCCAAAGGCTTTGGGCCTGTCGAGGGGATCTCCTGCAAGAAGAATGAAATGACAACTTTATGCAGAGGGAGCAGTTAATCGAGGATACTTTTTTGTTTTTGTTTTGTTGAACCTGTCAAATTTAGCTGTTGTGTATTATCTGGGGCATCAGTAGCAAAAACTAAGTACCAATATTTGGTTAAAAAACCGGAAGCGATGTCGTTTTGATCCCCGCGTCATCGCCTTTGTAGGTTGTCCATCAGGTACATGAGATTTCCTGGTAGGAGTTTTCAGCCGCCGTAGTGCCTGAGAAATCGTTCCCCGGGAGAACAAAAGAAATGGTTTCTTGGCAGTTTCTTGGCGGAGCGATCCTGCAGCAATTTCTTGCTGGAGCACCAGCAACTATAATACAAGGCATGGGCAGGAAAAACCAGGGTTTAGCGGATATTTGGTGAAAACAAGTTTTTTTTATAGCTTTGGACTATCCACTGACTGAGGACTATCCACTGACTGAGTCATCTGTGGGCCAAATTTTGGAGCTATTTGCACCTTCCAAGATGGTAAAAAGAAAGCCCAAAATCATGGGTCAAGATTGATTAAAAAAATCAGCAAACTTGCAAAATGGAACGCAGTCAAAGTATGCTCTCATGGAATGGTTGGGAATTGAGCATGGCTTAACCCTTTGGAGCCCGTACATTCAATTATCGACGGTATACCGTCGATGAACTAAAATGTTCATAATTCATTCGAAACCTGACAGATTTCCACGATCGAACTACTAGGAAGACGCCGAAGAGCTCAGCTTTCTAGTGCAACAATCGCCGAAGAGCTACGATGTCGCGTTGCAAAGATATCGCGCTCGGCATTTCAGTCGCGGCAAAAGTCGAACTTTTTTCTCAGTGACTGGCCTTGAGTGAGGGATTTTCCCTTGGATGACATGCTGATTTGTCCAGGCACGCTTCCTGCACGTGGCCAGCATAAAACTAAAGTCAGAGCGAAAAAATTGAGCGTTCCGCGATGAATGAGAGTGAAATGGCCGGCGTCGAGGAAATTTGCTCGTATACTAGTATCCAGCTCTGTGGACTGTTTGAGGCGCCGTGGCGTTGGATATGTGACTGCTGTGGTGTTGAATTTGAGCTCCACTTACTCTGCTCGCGGAGAGCTTACCAGGAAGCCCACGATTATGGAAATCAAATAACGAGTACCAAAGTTATGCCCAAAATATGGTAAAGAATATATCGCATGATTGCAGTTGCATACAATTACCAGGATTATTTGGGGCTCCAAAGGGTTCAGGCCTTCAGGAAATTATACAGTACTGTAGCCAATAATCTTGTACCAGTGCTGCCTGCCCATGCTGCTATTATCTTGAAAATTCAATCTCCACCACATGCAGGCTTGGCACTGGATGAAGGCTTGTCAAGTAACGGAGGCTTTCCATGACTGGGAAGAACCTACAAGACTAGTGTTGCTCTTGTTGTCCTTTTGACCTCTATGCTGCCCCTTTTGGTGTTGTGCTGCGCTCGGAGTTTGCCGCTGCGTGCGGACCGTGCACGGACTGCACGCAGGTTGCACCACTGCGCGCATGCGTGCATGCACTGTGGTACCTTTTCTCCGTTTTTCTCTGTACACCTTCTTTGCTTCTTCCCGAACTCTCGTTGCAATCGGAATAAGAATCGGTTCCTCTCAGTGGTGTGTACGTGGGACGTGAGGGAGAGTATCGGAGAAGCCCATCGTCAGGTGTTGCACTCGACTGTGTCCAGTCAGGTTTAGTTCATTCAGGGCTATTTCCTTATCTCGCCAACTCATCCACCTGAGGAAAATGTCAACCGAGAAGTAAATCTCATTCTGCACTATCAGCTCAACCGGCCACTTCGTATCACGACGCTCTTAAACTCACCGTCGGTGCTACCTTTGCTGATGGCTCGTCATGAACGAAACCTCGGCATTCTCACGTGCGTTTTCTTGCTGCGGACTGTAGCAGAAAGCAGAGTATCTCAGGAGATCTGCCTGCCAAATATTCTAGTCGCTGGTGCTCTAGCAAGAATTTGTTAGGGGATTGTTCCTCCAAGAATTCTCTCTCTCTCTCTCTCTCTCTCTCTCTCTCTCAAGAGTGTACGCGCACACTCTTGAGCGTGTGACTTTGGAGGTGCTAGCTAGAGCGCAAACACCCTTTTATGGTGGTTGAAAACTCCTACCTGAACATCTCCAATGCCTGGTGGACAACCTACCAAGGCGACAACGACAAATTATAGTGTAGCCACCAAGAGGAAAGGCACTTTGAAAGCACTAGTACAAGAAGTCTTTTGCTGTGATCGCGGTGACCAAAAACTGACATCACTTCTGCTTTTCGCAAATATTGTTGTTATTGTTTATTTTACTTCACCAAATGAACAGGCAGAGATGCCTTCTCACCTGCCCATAAGACAGGTTCTCACAGAATGATGAAGGGATGATATGCAAGGGAAAACAAGAAATGATAATAATATTAGACAGAAAGGACCAAAAGAAGAAAAGGAAAAAATGATATGAAGACAATTTCATGGAGTCAGAAATAGAAAGACAATAATTTCATGGAGTCAAAGAATAGAAAGACAATTTCATGGAGTCAAGAACATGTGATTGATTTTATAGGCATGCATGCACAAATGATTGATAGATGAATGATACGGTTGGAATTCATGGCAGATAATAAAAGTTTAATGAGGATATTCACAAAGTAAGTATATCAATGGCAGAAAGAGCTTTCCGGAAGGGACCAGGGACACCTATCACTCTAAAATCAGAGGGGAGAGCGTTCCAGTATTGACACATTGAAACTTGAGGGGTCCCAGGTTCTTGCTGCCGATGCCTCATGTCTGGCAGGCGGACCTCCAGAGATACTCCACTGTCTGCCATAGTCCCCTGCAAGAATGTGCAGGTGACATTGACAAGGGTTTGTTCAGATGACGGACCGTCAGCAGACGATTTGCTTGAAAGCGGCGTAACACAAAGTGGCGATGCGGTTGGATGCGCCGCCGGGAGTTCAAACTGAGATTGAGTACTTGGATGCCACAATCCTCAGCTGGATGAGTTGGTGGGACATGGAAATAGCCTTTGATGAACCAAACCTGACTTGATACAGGAATTTGTGTGAGTAACATAGCTGCAATAATTCACGTGCGCTTTTGGTGCATTTGTATTGTAACCCTATAATGCATTTATGGATAGAGATTGAGATTTCAAGTTCATAGCAGCATGTGTAGGTGGTAATGGCAGACTATTGTTGGCTCGAGTACGGTGCACCTCCCAGAAGACATATGGTATGCTAAGTTAGTCACAACCACTCCCTCAGAGTCAACACTGACTGTATTCCAGTTTTCCATCTTGCTGATTATTTGTTGTCAGTCTTCTCCCATGATATTGGACAGAGCTTGGAAATGCGAGCCATAGATCACCCATTTAGTGGACAGTTCAAAGCCATCAAAACTCATTATCGCCAAATACCACCTAACCGTGTCTTTTCTGCCGATGCCTCACATGTGTACGACCATAGCACTGTCGACAGGGGTTTTTCCTTTACTTATATTGTTCTTGACCCCTTCCCTACTTCAGCCACCCATTGCTCTGCTGAAACAAGAACGGCCACTGTCAATGCGATTCCGAGATTGGAAGTGGGTGCTTCCGCTTATGTCACTTGCAATGCCTCTACTTCGACACAAACTGGGATCAATGTTACGTGTATGCCGGACGGGACGCTGTCTAATAAACCGGCTTGCCCAGGTTAGAAATCTGTAGCTCGTTTGTACCTATTCAACACTGCCCTTTCCCTCAGGCTAGGGGTGTTTGCAAAAGACTCATAGTTCGCAGGGTATTTTGAAGATCTGATATTATACCGTATCAGTGTCACACTTTCACGTAGTGCATGAATCTACGTAGTCCACCCCTGTTTAGAAGAACGCAGCAAGAGTTTAAAAACCAATCACTTTCATTCACTTCTCATCACGGGCTCCTACCAGGATTAAAGCTAAATGACTATGGTGTTGTACGCGACCGAGTGAAAAGGCAAAACTGGTCCAGTCTCTCCAACTCAAAACACAAGTAGTATTCTCAGGGAACAAGAGTGCACGAAAAGACAAACGTAGGTAGCACAGAACTTATAGTATATTGAAAGACTCACGTGAAGGTAAGACGACAGAAACAACGGAAGCAAAGACTCTGCAGCAACTGAGCTGGGCAACTGACACACGGATCTATATAATATACGGTACGAGATTGCCAGTTACAGCTCCGAGCGCTAGCTAGCGATCTCTAAATGAAAGCAAGGGATCTGATGGTGCCAGCAATGCATAGTGCAGTACATAGTGATTTGTGTAGGGGAAGGTCCGTCTACTACATATGGTAATAAAAATAAATTCTATGGGAAAAATTAAGGGAAGCACATCACGCTGCAAGCGTGAAGCAGCTAGCTCATCAAGAACGGCATGAAAATGAAAACAACACTAACACACTGTGTGGATCGGTGATAATTGCTCTTAGCACTTTCAAGGAGATTAATGGCAAGCAACTGAGGGAACGCTGCTTCTAAACACATAGCACAGGGGACAATTTGCAAATCCACAATGCCTCTAGAACAGCCAAGTGTAATTTAGATCTTTCAAGAGCAAAACGCAGAAATGACATCACTGCATACCACACAACTACCAGTACCCGGCGGTTGATGCTATTAAATTGCCGAGTGACATTCCTATGGAATTTTCAGCCTTGGTCATTGCCTTCGATACTGAAGCTGAGTCATCCTGCCTCCTCCAGTATTGGGGTTGCTCGTCCGGTGTCCGATGCTTCCGTTCTTGTGTGTAGCACTCTGGGGTGGTCTCCTTCACTTCCTTAAACCCACTGATGCTGTCACCACCAGTACCATGGTCTGATCACCTCTTGCCTTACGCACCTTTGCTTGGCTGCAAGTGAGCCTTCCATTTTGTGTTGTGGCCATCGTCTTCTTAGTCTCATCTTTTCAGGGGCCTGCCCCATCTACCCTTGAACGGCTACAGGCACGAATGGCTCGTGTGATTCTGCGGCAGTATGCCGTGTATTCTCCTCAAGTGGAGCGTGCACATGTATCTTTGGCTGACATACCTCATGTACAGTGGATGAATACTGGTACTGGTGCCGACTCTGGCTGTGCTCGGAATGCAGCTTGGTTGTGAGACGGTCAACAATCATTTCTCACTTTCTTCTTCTGTTTCTCTTCGCTGAACAATGGTTCTTCGTGGAGCATGGCCGACAGTGACGTGTAGTAATTATTTCCCTTGCAGGTGCTGTGCAGAATGAAGTTTTGGGTACAGTGAGTGGGAGAGCTAGGGGTGAGTTCAAACCCCACAAGGATATAGAGTATTGAAACAGTTTCCGTTTCTTTGAAGTGATATGGCAAGAGCGAAGAAACTTGCTGTTGCCCCAAGGTGAAACGGAAAAAGACTAACTCAACAGAAAAGAACAAGATGGATGTCATGTTGTGGTCGACACGCGGTGGTCTGGGTGTGAGCCCAGAATGGCGAACTCGCGAGGTACTACGTATGTAACTGTAAGTGAAAAACGAGGAGAAAAAAGGTGAAGCCAGATCGAGACTCCTGTACATGTAGTAATATGATGACTTGGTTTGCATATGTGTATAGCTGGAATAGAATCACGACACCCGTCGTGACAGGTGCAACCAGTTGACATTATGCCGTGATTGCCTCCGACAGTAAGAACTCACCTCTGATCCATGTTTCTTGCTGCGTCATCGCTGTCGGAAACAGCAGAACATTTTTTGAAACACTGGAACTTCCACAGATCGCTTCTTCCTAGTCAACTCATTCCTTATGCAACTGGATGCTGCTGTCAGATGAGTCGGTGTTCCTTCACGTAGACTGCATCTGCGGAGCTTGACTCAACTGATTTGGAAATTCAGCAGTAGCTCAGCTCAAGTGACGCCAGGACCGTTATGTCGTACTCGCATGTATCACTCCATTTCCTCCGCAGCCTGGAGCTCTTGTTGTTTTTCATGTTTCTTTGGATTTTGGCCGGAGCCCTTTTCTAGTCTCCTTTTCTTTCTTTTTTACCTTTGGATTTCTGCCAATGCTTGAAGCTAACCATGCTGTAGTAGACGTACTTTCTCCTACACAAACCACTATGTATTGCACTATTCATTGCTGGCACCATCAGGTCTCTTGTTACCTATATTAGATCAGGCGCGTGCGCCGGTGCCCTTCAAGGGGGTTGATTGGGGCGTCCGCCGGGAAAATTTTCAAAAAATGAAGCAAAATCCTGCATTTTGAGGGGAAAAGGGGGGTTCCGGGCACCCAGGAACCCATACGGGGCACGCGCCTGTAGATAGTATCTGTATTCTTCTTTCCACACAATAGCACTTATGTGGCCAGTAATGCGTAACTGTCACTCTCCCTTGCTTACATTTAGAGATTGCTAGCTAGAGCTCGGGGCTGTAACTGGACTTCAATCTCGTACCGTATATAGACTCGTCTGTCAGTTTCCCAGTTCAGTTGTTGCCGAGTCTTTGCTTCCTTTGTTTTTAGTCTTTAATACCTGCACTTTAAAAGTCTTTCAGTATAAGCTCTGTCCTACCTACGTTGTCTCTTCGTGCAATCTCTTCGTTCAATATCATTCCTTGAAACTACTACATGTGCAATTGTGAGTCGTGAGAGAAATCCAGTTTGCCTTGTCACTCGGTCGCACATAACATTTGCCATCACCCCATGCATTGCAACATGCATGCTCTGGGAGAGATTATACCTCATTTCTTGCTGCAGATAGTTCAGGGTTTTTCTTGACTCTTCTCCAATCAGTTTTGTTCTCAAAATTTCAGTAACAGTACGCACATTCTGAACAGGGTTACACCAGCTTTGAAACACCGTTACGTCTTAATTAACAGTGGACTTGAGAACTGTTATCAGAGTTCTTAGGTCGTTATGTGCCTTGGATGGCCAACATGTAGTGTACTAGTCACACTAATGCTGGTGGTGCATTTGTTTTTGTGCTTTGTGTCTATGTCGTGTGTGGGTGGGTGTTTGTGTCTGTGTGCGCTTTTGCTATGTTCTATTTTCCAGCGCTTCCTTCCGTTCCACCCTCTACCCCTACGCCGGGTACGTTCTATTCTGTTTACTGCCTCACCCTGCACTTGTACTGAATGCGCCAAGCACCGAGTTTTGTAAACACATCACCACTTTAATGTGATTTCATGCATTGTGTGATTCAAAATGTATGTGTTAAGAATCCTAAGGTCTACGAGTAGTTCTCTTGAAGAGCAAGCTTGGACACAACACTAAAAATGCATGTACATGTACTTGCTTGTAGCTTGCTAATGAAACAAGTCAACCGTAGCCAGTTGTGTTGCACACATTGAAACGTTGGAGACTAAGATCAGCAGTTGTCACAGCAGGTGCTGGCGCAGAAGTGACCATAACATCAATGACCTCACCTTTCTCCAACATATTCAGGAGAGACTTGTGGCAGATTTTTAAAATGTGCCGAGATGCATGTGGCTTCCATGGCATGCTCATTGCGTACTCTGTATACAACAAGCATGTATGTACCATTCAAAACTGCACGTCAGAAGTTGCTGCTGGACCTCTGGTACTGAATTCCTCGTTTTTGTTTATGTCCTTTTGTTGGCCTTAATTTCACAACGTGCGGTTCTTAAACCACTACGTCCACGTTAATGTCCACGACGCGACGACTACTTGCAAACAAACTTGCTTACTTCAACCGATGATCAACAATCAGATATGACTAATATGACGATGAACAACTCTAATATGACAATGAACAACTCAATTGTGAAAATGAACGACTCTGGTTCTGCTCCTTCTGCTTCTACCAATACTAATGGTTCTACAGAGGAAGGAGGAGGAGGCTTAGAAACTGGAGCTATTGTTGGCATTGCTGTTGGAGGAGCTGTACTTGCTATCGTTCTGGTCGTTATCATCATCTTGGTGATCAAGAAGCCACCGAGGTAGGACATTACTGCTGACTCCTTGTTCTTGGTGTGGCAGGTGTGCCCCCTATGAACCCGCCGCCACCCGTTGTTTTTTCCCTTTACTGTTCAGGTGGTTTAGGAAAGTGTTTGGAACTTTGGACCCCTGGATACATAACCATGAGCAATGAAATGTCCCCCTGCCTGTCCATTGAGTCAAGTATGCCGGAAGCATGCGAACAGAAAATTATTTTTACTAGTGTTTGTATGATTGCACCATGCTGATAGAAAGGGTTTTATCGAAAATACAAAAATTCCAAAAAGACCATCGGTAACCCAGGAAGACCCTATCAGTTGGGGGTAACAACCTGGGTAGAATTAGGAGGAAAGCCAATTCCTCGCATTATTTCAAGCTAGCGCTTTCCCCATCGACTCCTTTTAAACTGCCATCCAGAGCACACGCGATACTCGTCGAGGCATTGACTCAGGAGACCTTCCATCACTGCAACAACCACTCCCAGGTCAATGCATTGTTGCGGGGAATCCTCTCCCCTCGCCCCTCAGTTGAGCTGGAGTAGACTAACGAAGCTGGTGCCTGAACAGCACCATATGCGCACTTCGCTTGAGGAAATTTCAGGAATTGCAGCAATTCGAACTTTGTCGTTTCTCGTCCAGTTTCTACCAACCGTATAGTTCTGGAAATTTCTGCTCATTAGCTTTCCGATACGCCGTCAGTAGTTAAAAGATTCGACTGTTTTCTGCAGACTTATTGTGTTGTGTACAGTGGTCTGTAC